GGCAAGAGCACACTGATGCTCAAGAGGCAGCCACTCTTTGTAGTAACTGTGCTCCATGGTAACTGATCCGGTCCCTCAAGAACTCATTCACTCCCTGGAGAACTAACCCAGTTTCCTGAGAACAGGATTAATCAATCCCACTATTGAGGACAGTCCTCATAAGCCCAACACCTTTACACTGGAAATCAAATTTAAACACATGTTTTGAAGAGGACAAACCATAGTTAAGCGAGGCAGCCACCTTTGCTTGGTTGTCACTCCAAGATATGCATGGCTTTGTAGCTTTCTTCATCTCTCCTTAGGGTCCCACCATGCACATGTATCTGACCTCTTCCAGGACCTTTACACCTGCAAGACTAATTGGAGTCTCCATGCTAACATGGGCACCCTGATGCAGGTTTTCTGAGCCCATGCTCAGAGCAAGACCCTAGACACTCCTGCACCTCTGCACTGCATCATGTGTAACTACACCCACACAGTGATCAACATAGGCAGCATTGACATGGACATACATGTTCACCGTTTAATGATAATAGTTCACGACAGTCTCAAATTGTGACACTCAGAAAAGCATCAGCAGGGGAGATGTAATAGCCTTGTCACACATACCAGACATCACTGTGATTTCTCTGAAGTCCAGATCTTATCGCATAACTGTTTTGGGTGAAATCCTTTAAGAGCTTCTTGTCTTCCATGGCACCAAAACGAAATTCCTCAGCAAGGCATCTAGGCCTTCCATGCAGGGGGTCCTCACCTACTCTCTGATAACTCCACTTCCATCCCCAGAAGTCTACAGGACACTTGTAGTTTCCAAACATACCTGGGCACCTTTGCCCATCACAATCCCTCTGCCTGTACATTCTTTCTCACACATTTACCCTGGAAACCCTCACTTCCAGCATCCTCTTTGCTGCCCCCTCCTTATGCAAGAACTTCTTCATTCTTTGCATTATGGCTTGAATAACCTTATCCTGTGGGTTCCTGTAACCCTTGGTGCATTTTTCAGCCTATAACAATGTAATTATTTGTGAATGGCTTTGTGTCCCATGGCTTGAGATCTTCAAAGGAAAAGTCTGAAGTTTGAACTTTTCAAACCCTTGATGCCTAATGTTGTGACTGCAACATAGTAAATGTCTCCTGTTTGATAAACAAATAACCTTGCTCTATGTGTATTTGTGAGCAATCACCAGAAAACATGGGAAGCAGAGTGCAGTTACACAGCCCTCCAGTAGAGGGGACCATGCAAAGCTATTTACTGCAGCCCTTTAAAGCCGTCCTCCCATCTGATGGATGCAAATAGACAAAAGATTTTCATTTGTAGTCTATATCTACTCGTAAGTCAATGCCCAGGAAGAACACTTATTTAAGGTCACTGTTTTTTTTTTGGGGGGGGGGTCTGGTTTTGCTTTTTTTTTTAAAGGTCACTATAGCTTGTGGGGAGGGCTCTTTGTGCCTGTGATTCCAGCCCTTAGGAGGTTGAGGCCAGAGTATTTTGAGTTCAAGGCTGAAGTAGGCTACCTAAAACTCTGTCTCAAAAGCCTGAAAATAAAAAGTTATTATATCTCAGTCCCTGGCTACCTGTTAGGAATAGAAAGAGAGAGAACATAATCTCATTTTCTGAAGCCAACTAGACCTTCTCTCTGCCCAGTGAGTGCTGTGAAGTTCAATGGCAGCATTGTGATGTATAGCCGTAAGGTCCCATTTAAAGCCCACAGATCTTTGCTCATAGTCAGTGGAAGTTCTGATGTTCTGCAATAGTTCAGTGGATGCCTTGATCGACAGCTGCTCATCATGAGAGCGAGACTCTAGCCAGGGTAGATAGGCAGGGTTCTAAGTGTCCCCATCTGTCACAGAGAATTGGACTATCTTCATGCTTCTCTGAACACAGACAACACAGAGCATTCCCTGAGGAGGCTGGTGTGAATTTTGTCTTTGCTTCAGCTGCTGGCATAGCACCTGGCACAAGGCAAGGTGTTCACTAAATTTTCTGAATGAGTAACTAAGCTTACTTCATAATTTTGTGAGTTGATGTGAATAAGTTCTGTCAATACTCTTGAAAGACAGGATGAGAGACTGTGTGTGGAGGTTAGAGGACAACTTTGAGGAATTGTTTCTCTCCTTTTACTAAAAGTGTGGGCTCCTAGAATCAAACCCAGATTGTCTGGCTTGACATTCAGCACCTTCACCTTCTCCACTGAGATATTTGCCAAGCTCACACAAAGAATTTAGATACTATGTATCATGATTGGTAAAAGTATAAAAAGAAAGGAAATCAGTTGTCTGCCTTATAATAGGAACAAAATACCAAGTCTTACAAATCTGGTCAGTTTTCATATACAACCACTCCTGAGCAATACAGAGAATTATAGAATTCATTAAACCAACAGTATAGAAATAAAAATGATGAGGTATTTATAAGATAATTAGAAATCTGAATGATGACTAACATATTTTAAAACTGTTGTTATTAGATAAAATAATACCCATATTGCATTTTACATAAATATAATAAATATTTGCAGATTAAATTCCTACAATTTGCTTCAAAATATGGAATGGGATAGATAGTCTTGAGTGGATAATTCCTGAAGCTGAGCATCAGGTGTGTGAAGTCTGTTACACCCTTTTGTCAAGTTTTGTATTGATTATATTTGACGTTTTCCCTGGAACCTCTTTTTTTTTTTTTAATTTACTAAAGCTTTCTAAATATCCTTATGCTCTTCTAAGGGATATTCTCACCCTTCTCCCATACCTCGATTGTTAGCCTAGAGTCTTATGTAAACTTCAAATAGCCCAGAAATAGTAACTTAAAAATCCAATAGCCTCTCTTTGTACAGTAATATAGAAGATTATTTCTTAAAAGACTGCATGACTTTGAATATGTAAAAAGAATAACCTAGGGGAGAGAAAATGAGTTCTAAGAGTAGGAAGAAGGAAAAAAAAAATCTGTCTTTTTAATACTTCCTAGGGAAGTACTTGCATGTGTGTGCTCATGTGTGTAAAGGAAACTTCTACAAGAGGCATAGAGATAAAGACTAAGTTCTTAGCTATCAGGTTATACTCACATAGGATCTCCTTGTTGAAGGTGAATATCAATATTTTGGGGGAGAAAGGGGCTTGCTTTTCAACATTCAGCAAGCCAATGTTCAGACTGTTTCACTGGAGATAGGGTGAATTTTTGCCTAAACCTGGGAACAGTTTAAACTTGTATGCTGGAAACCAGGTAAGAGCAAGAGTCACCTCAAGTGCTGGAGCTTCCAGCTTCTGATCTGAAATCCCCAGAAGAACAAGAAACTGCATGTCTAGGGACGGGGTGGGGTTGAGGCACCTGGAATGCAGTGAAAAAAAAAAAAAAAAAAAAAAGGCAATGATTCTTTATTGGATAGAGCCAGGTTACACAGTGACCAGAGCCATAAAACCTGTGAGGACACTTTGAAAACAGCCTTTTGTTTATACCTTTTATCTTTCAGCTAGGCAGAAGACAGATGTCTATTAATGGGTCACTTGGCCAGGCCACAGCTGCTGGCCACCATCCTTTCTGTTTGCATGGCTTTTGATACTCTCTCCCCCCACACCACCCCTCCACTTAATTATAATTAACAGGTGACCCTAGAATGGACGTGGAACTAAGTAAAGCCTGACTGATCTTCCACAGAAACACGAAACATGCTTTAGTGTCTCTGGCTGTATATTGAGTCCGGGTCAGTGCTGATCTTCAGTCTTTATTTTCATTGAACTTCAGTTGGTCTTGAAGGAAAGTGTGTGTTGCCTGGTCTCAAGCAGCCTCATCTGTTGCTGTGTATCCTTGACACACAGGCCTCAGCTCTGTATCCCCACTTTTCTGTTTTTATTTAGGTTTATTTTTTGAGAGGTAAGGGTCTTACTTTGGATGACCTCAAATTCACAGAGATCTGCAGCCTTTGCCTCCCAATGGCTGGGATTAAAGGTGTGCACTACCATGGCAGGCTAATTTTATTTTTTTAAATAAGGTCTCCAACTGTTCATTCTCTTGCCTCAGCCTCCTTGAGATTACAGGCATGAGTCACCATACCTGGCTTGTTTATTTGGTGTGTGGGTTTGTTTTGTTTTATTTTATTCGGTGTTGAGGATCAAACCCCAGGATTTGTGAAGTACCTTGGCTAAGCATCCTACCACTGAGCTAAGCTCCTATCCCGGTAAAACACATTAACTTTAAAAGTATGCTTTGACTCATTTTGGTGATAATGCATGCAAGATGCTAGTTTATCTAATGTGTTTCTGCTTTTGTTAAAGAAACAATGTTGGGAAAGATGTTTTTGCAGAGGTTTTCCTCGAAACTCCCAAAAGGGAACATCAACCTGCGGGTCGAAGGGCCTATTGTATAATAGCCCAATTCGAGATTTATTTATTTATTTATTTATTTAGCCCTAGCTGTCCTGGAACTCGCTCAACAGACCAGTCTGGCCTTGAACTCAAGAGTCCACCTGCCTCTGGGATTAAAGGGGTGCACCACTACCACAACCCAGCTGGGCTCCCCTTTCTTACTAAGCACCAGTTTCCAATCTGCCTCATCAGACTGACTCACAAGACCCGCACACACCCTTAAGTGTCCCGTCATTTTCTGCGTAGCACAACCGTTTGTGCGAGCAAAATCCACACAGGCTGACTCGCGCATCCCAACGCGAAGCAAAGCCCCTTGTTAGAGCGCTTGAAAACCAGTGCGAGGTCCTGGGTTTAGTTCTTAGCTCCTGGAGGGAGAAGGCCACCAACCTCGCCCCGCCAAAGTAAAAACAAAACAAATTAAGGTAAAAGATAAACACAAAGCAGGCTACGCCACGCCTACCCGAAGCCCTAGGCGCTGGTGCTCCGAGCAAGCATGCGCAGGCACTCCCATGCGCTCCAGGAGCTTCCGGCAGGGGGCAGCATTGAGACCCGCAGGGAGTGACGTCCGTCGTACTCGCAGGACGTAAAGCAGCTTTGCTTTACAGCACCCGCCACCGCCGTAAAGCCGGCGTGCCCACGTGCGACAGCTGCGCGGTGGGAGCGCTGGTGTTTCTGCTGTGTCGGGCTTGACGTTCCCGCCGCTATGGGCAAACGCCGGAGCCGCGGCCGGAGCCAGCTGCTCAGCACAATGACCAAGAAGCAGAAGAAGCACCTCCGCGACTTCGGCGAGGAGCATCCCTTCTACGACAGGTCGGGGCGCGGTGTCGGTGCGAGCCGGTTCCGGGGGAGGGGAGCGCGGGACGGTGCGAGCCGGTTCCGGGGGAGGGGAGCGCGGGACGGTGCGAGCCGGTTCCGGGGGGGGGGAGCGCGGGACGGTGCGAGCCGGTTCCGGGGGGGAGTGCGGGTTCGATGCGAGCCGGGCACCCCGCTGCGGAGGTGAGCCTTGCAGGTACACCTGCAGGGACATCCGTGGTGCAGTCCCGGCACGCGGGGGCTGAGGCAGGGGAGCTCAGCTTAGCCAGGGCCACGAAGAGGGATGAACCCTAGTGTGTGCTTTGAAAGCTGGTTTCTGAGGCGCTCTTGGTCACGTGATGCCGTTGAGCTCACTTGCCTGTTACCCATTTGTCATCTCTGCCCTAGTGCATGAAGACTATTTTTTACAGTGATTGGTTATTATCATGTGTTCTGCCCTTTCCACTTAAAGCAGAATTCACTAGGACTTTTGTGATTGTTAACAGGTCAGCAGCTAAAATTTGGCATTATCCGTTCTTTTTTTAGGGTTTCCAAAAAGGAGGCAAAGCCACAGATTTGTCAGTTGGTAATGCTTTTTTTTTCTTCTTCTTTATAGTGGTTGGAATTGAGTTGTTAATCTTTAAGATTGTGTGTGAAAGTAAAGCTTGGGTACATTTATGTGCTTTTCTGATTGGGATGTAAGCTGTGATTTTAGTAATGTTACTTAATTAGTTTTAAGCGGTGGAGATAAATCGCTGTAAAAATTGCCACGTGACAATCGAAGCCAGAGTTGGAGACTACCCCCTGACACTATGATATGAACCTCTGTTGAAAAGGTTCATTGGAGTGCTGGTTTTTGGTGTGTCCACGGTGAATTCACCAAGAAAGATTCACACATATAGTGTAAAGTAGACTAGGGGCCAGCAGATTAAGACAAGGGCAGGCACCATTTGTAATTTTCCTCTTGCACCTTGAAACATGAAGCGTACTTCTGAGATGCAAGTTAAAGCCCATAACCTCGAATTCTGTTTGAAGTCAGTTTTCATCCCATGTGCAGTTAATATGAACCAGCGCTTGGTCAACTGTTCTATGTGAATTTCTTGCTGGGCTTGATTAAAGAGATGTAATATTTTCAGAAAAGCTTATTGAGTTTTGTGTTTCCTTTTTAATTAGTATATATTCATTATACAAAGTAGTGAATTTCATTAGGACATTTCCAGGCATAATTATTTGATCATATTCATACCACACATGCATTGCCCTCTTTTGGCCCTCAACCTTCTACCTCTGCTGGTCCCTTTTCTCTTTCCAAATACTTTTATTTTTTAATTTCATGACTTCTAAGTTCTTTAAATCTAGTTTCCTCATGCAAGAGAAAATTATTTGCCTTTAGACTCTTATTATTTTTTATTTAAATATTCCCATTCTATCCATTTTCTTGCATGTGACATAATTTTCTTCTTTAAGGCCAAGGAAGTTCTATTAGTATGTATGTCTAATATTTTATTTATTTATTTTTTAGTGTGACAAAAAATCATTTTGTTTTTAAAACATTCCCATTTTCCTTTAGTCAGAGAGTTCAGATACTTCACATTCTGAAAATGAATCTGAGAGTGAACAAGAGCACATTTCAGGGTACCACAGGCTGCTTGCTACATTAAAGAATGTTTCCGAAGAGGAAGAGGAGGAAGAGGATGATGATGATGAGGATGATAGTGCTGTAGGTGATGAAGAAATGAATGATGAAGATGATGAAGAAGATGGCGGCAGGAAAGAGAAAACAGCAGAGACAGCTGAGACACAGGAACGTGAGTGTTTTGAGGTTGGCCTATCCTCTTTGCCAGGACACAATGTCCTGTGCTATGTGGGCTGAGTTAGAGCATTTGGTTCCAAAGCAGAGATTCAGCCATGTTGAGTTTGGCTATATTTTGAGGATCTGCTGGGAACACAGACCCACTCATCAGGAAAATGCTACTGGCTTACTCTTTGGGGGAATTGCTTCTGACCTAATGTAAGACTGTCTGTTTTACCAGAGGAACATATTTTTGTCACTGCGACAGCTCAGTTTACTGAAGGGGTTGTTCCTCTTCAATAAGAGACCAAGTTGGCCAGGCGGTGGTGGCACATGCCTTTAATTCCAGCATCTGGGAGGCAGAGGCAGGTGGTTATCAGTGAGTTCATGGCCAGCCTGGCCTACATACTAAGCCGGGACAACCAGAATTACATAGTAAGACCCTGTCTTGAAAAACAAAAACATACATTGCTGAAATTCTTAGCTGTTTGTAGGTTCTTAGTTCTAGTTTTCTTTGCATTTAATGTTTTCTTTTTAGAAGAAAATAGACTTTGTTGTTGTTCTAATTATAAACATGCTGCATATTTACTACCAAGAATGTAAAAAGGTTGCAAGTGTAGCACAGTAGTTGATGCTCTGTGTTTATCCCCAACACCACATAAAACCAGGTGCAGTAGTACACACCTCTAATCCTAGCACTTGGTGAAGGTAGAGGTGGGAAGATCTAGTCTACTTATAATATTATATCTATAATCTATAGTCATTGCTTTTTTGTTCATGGGTTCACACATACGCACACACAGTACATGTATGTATGCATGTGATTTTGGTTCTTCAGTAAGATACTGTGGATGTTTGTTTTTTGTTTAATTTTTTCCCTTTTTATTGTAGTAAATTTGCTGTACTGGGGGTTGATCCTCATGTCTCTTACCTGTGCTGTACTGCTGAGTTCTGTCTCTGTAATATAACTCTGGATTCATAGTAGTTTCTTGGACATATAGCATTCAGTATTGAATACTCCTTTGACAAACGTATCATTTGTTATTTCTTATAATTCAGGCTGCTGTGAGCATCTTTTGTGTGTATCTTGGTGCACTATTAGAGTAAGTTCTAGAACTGGGTATGTTAGAATTCTTCAGAGTAACTCCTATAATTATGATAGAAATCTGTTTTAGGGAATTAGCTCTTGTGACTGTGAAGGCAAAGCAAGTCCTTCAGTCTAACGGACTTTAAATGCTTCAGGTCTAAAGGCAATCAAGCAGGAACCCCAAGAGAGTTCAGAGGCAATCTGCTGGAAGTTTTCCTCTCAGGGTAGACCAGCTTCCTCTGTTTACCCAAGCCTTCCAGGTATGGGAGGAGGCCCACTACACTGGGAGACCAGGATATAGCACAGTGGGTAGTGTCTCCCTAGCACACACAAAGCCTTGGTTTCCATCTCCAGTACTGCACATGCTAGGCTAATATGGAACAGGGCTGTAATCCTAACACTCAAGAGATGGAGATAGGAGAATCTGAAGTTCAAGGCCATTCTGAACTATTAGTGGGCTAACAACAAGACTAAACTACAGAAGACCCTGTCTGAAAACATAAAATAGTCATTTGCTTCCTGACAGAAGTCCACCAATGGGAGCATGAATTTAATCTAATAATCCCCAAGTATCGTTCAGGCACACCCCAAGGCTTGACGCCCAGCTTAGTTACAGGATTGGCTTCATCACCCAGGTCTGTGGTGAGGCTTAATTCTGAAAGGTCACCTCCTTTCTGAATTACCTGATTTTTGTTTAAAATCTACCTGGTGAGGGGGTGCAGCCTTTATTTTCAATTCCAGCACTTAAGATTCAGAGGCAGGTGGAAATCTGTGATTTAGAGGCCAGCCTGGTTACAAAGTGAGTTCCAGGACATCCAGGGCTATACAGAGAAACCCTGCCCCGGAAAAAAACAAAAACAAACAAATAATATCAATGAGCATCAGTGTTTTAATTTGATTTTGTCAACGTTTAAGTATGAGTAAATTGTTTATTTTTGAGACAGGGTTTCACTATTGATCTGGCGGTGTGGAAATCACTGTTGACCAGGCTCTACCACATCCCCCCGGACAATTTTAAGAAATGATTTTTAACATTTCAGGTATGTCCCTAGCTGATGGCCCTGAAGACAAAGATGGGAAAGAACCACCTGATATGTCACAGAAATCTGCAGAGGAGTTCACAGATGTGAAACACGAGTCACTGTTCAGCCTGGAAACCAATTTTCTGGAAGAGGACAGTGGAGCCAACAGCTCTTCCCAAAGAGCATCCCAAGGTGAGAGTGAGTCATCTTGCCCCAGCCCTCCAGTGCTGCACAGAAGCCATAGAGCCTGCCCTCGGGAATCTTGCCATGTTCCAGATGGACAGGAACATGTGCTGGCTTGTGTGGATTGGTGAGGCACGGTAAGGGTAAAGAGTGTGAGTGTCCAGGGGGTGGGAGCCTAATCTCTGCCTGGAGCCAGTGCTTTGCCTGGTGCAGTAGATGCCCCCCACAAGGCACTTTTCTCTGAAGGAATAGTATGCAGGTGACAGAGGTGAGAAGGGAAAGCAGAACTTAGGGTTGTGTAGTTCAGAAATCACTGAAGAGATGTGTTCAAGCGCAGTGGTTGAGGCCTGAACTTCAGGTGAGGCTCTGGGCTGGGATGTTGTGGCCAGCCTGCTAGGCACTCTTTACTAAGCCTTGATTGCTGGGGGAGGGAGTGGGGTTGGCAGGTAGGATGAGTTGACACCAGGAAGATCAGTGTGTCTGTCTCAGCAGGGACTAGAGATGAACATATCATTTTCAGAGGTGACAGAGATGAGTCTGTCACTCTCAGACTAGAAAGCCCTGCCGTTGTTGCCTGTGCTGACTGCTCTATTCTGAATTAGATCCGTTTCAACAACATGTCAACAGAGAACTGAAAGACAAGGAGATTCAAGCTGCTGCTTCAAGCTCGCCAACTACCCAGCAGCTGGAAGTAAGTGCTGTTTGGTTTCCCAGGCACAGAGGAAAACCCCACAAAAAAAACTGTGCTCTTTGGTTTATTGGCATATATTATCCATAGTGAGTTTCGTTTTGTCGGACTTAGAGCTTGTGTCAGTCATCTTATCCTCTGCCTCCCAAGTGTTGGGGTTATAGGTATGACACCATGATCTAGTTGACTTCCCCTTTTTTTGATTTTGTAGATAACATATAGAGGTATGATGATAAGTCAGCTAGAGACTGACCTTTTTTTTTTTTTTTTTTCTTTATTTTTTCCTGATTTTGCCCCTGGTAGCAGGTAACAGAGTACAGTACAGTGTCACAACCAGAAAGTGGACTTAGGTGCCATCTATTGCTGCTTGGAACTCATGCATGCAAGTCCTCTATCTACCCTAGACTTGGGTTCACTGTACAGTGTTGTCTTCCTGTAGGATCCCGTTTCTACTGGCTCAGTAGGGTGTGGGACACCCTGGCACTCTGTGTCTTATCAATTGTGTCTCACTGTGCTGTCCTGGCAGGCCTGGAACTTGGTATGTAGACCAGGCTGGCCTCAGATCACAGAGTCTGTCTGCCTCTGCTCCACAGTACTGGGATTAAAGGTGTGAGCCACCACACCTGTTACTCCTTTTCACCATGCCCATTTGCTTTCACATTCCTCAGTGCTGATCCCTTAACCTCCTGAGCTCATCTCTGTCTCTGGGGGTGTATGGTTCACTGTTGAGTCACTGGCATCACCCAGAGTGGAACCGTATCTTTTATTGCCGAAGTTGCTCTAATTCTAGATCAGCAATTTTTCTACGTGAAGACTTTCTAAACATACTTCACAAAGTAGCATCCCTGGACTTTCTACTAGACATATCTAAAAGAGAAAAAGGAAGCAGTGGAGATTAAGGAAGGGAGGGATGAATCAGTTCCGAGACAAGGCAGAGCTTTTAGTGTCACATCTTGTGACATAGCAAATTGCCAAGGAATTTTGATTCTTCCCAGATGTGATCCTCGGGATAGTGAGGGAAACACTAGAGGCAGAGCTCAGATATGAAGTCAGGCTCTAGACTGCACACCTTTTGTGTCACTGTTGTCTGTCTGGACCCTCTTGCTTCATGAGGCCCAGCATTCCCTACGCTGGAGTGTGTGTGTGTGTCACCAACCAGCTGGGCTAGGTGGGGCTGATGGGATGATCTGGGAATCATCAAGTACTGTGTGAGTATCAGGGTTTGTTACTCATGCCTAACCAACTCTTGATCTGTCTGCTCCTAGTGGCCTGTCCTTGGACAGCTTGTCTTTTCATCAAAGTTCCAGAAGATGGAAACATTTAAACCTCCAAAGGATATTGACATAAAGTCACTTCATCTTCAGAAGCCTCTAGAATCTACCTGGAAAAAGACCAATAGCCAATTTCTATCTGGTCCTCAAAAATCAAATAGCCCCTTTACCCCACTCCAGAAAGAGCTGTTCTTAATTATGAATTCTTACCGGGACCTGTTCTACCCAGAGAGAACTGCCCTGAAGAATGGAGAAGAGGTCCGCCATGTGTACTGCCTGCATGCCATAAACCATGTCCTCAAAGCGAATGCCCAAGTGCTGGCTAACAACAGTAGGCGTCGGAGTCAGAAACTTGGGGTGGGTGAGGACGATGATTTCAGGGACCAAGGGCTAACCAGGCCTAAGGTGAGTGATACAGCTGACAGCTTTGTCCTCAAGGTACTGCTGCTGAGTCCTGAGCATGTGGACAGCTGACTGGTTAGAGAATCCTCACATGAGCAGTTGAGTGAGCCAGGCAGTGCAGGACAGTGAAGGGGCTTCAGATGCTCTCAGTGATGAACCCGTAACACACATAAGCACCTTGTTGTGGGTGGTCTCTTCCTAGTGACTCTTGGCTCATGGGTGCCTTAATTAGTGTTTTATCTAGTCCATGTATGTGACAGCCATGGACAGACCCAGATTCACAGAAGACCCTGCTAAAGAGAATGGGGGAAAGGTTAGCAGAGATGTATTAGAATCTGGCTCTCCACCAAGCCACATACACAAAAACCTTCAAGCCACAGATCTGCATTTCTTCTGTGAAGTTCCTAATACTTAAAGGAATGACTTTGTATACTTGTGCTCTCAAACCTGATCTCTGGCACATTTGAGGTTCTAATGGGAAAAGAAATAGATTCACTTCTGTCCACACATTTGAGACTGTTGGGAAAGAAAATGGATTTACTTATATCTGCATCTTTCCTGATGCCGTGAGAGGAGCCAGGCCTTGTTCTCTTGTTTTCTCCCCTGTCTCCTGAAGAAGCTCATGCTTTCAGATGCTCATTGAACTCAACAGGATTCAAGGGAGTAAATGCTTATGTGGTTCTTAAAAGTTCTTTTAGTCTGGCTTCTTGTTTGACAGCTGTGGAAACAGTGTGGACACTTAGTTAATGTCACCAACAGGACAGTAATCTGGCCTCTGAAATCTTGGGCTGGCATATGGGGCAAATTACTTACTGCTTTGGCAAGCTGGTTACATTTCTAGGAGGCTGCCTCAGATGCATGGACATGACATGGAGGTTGCCTGTCTCTGTTGTGCACTGTACGAGAATTGGGCAGATTGCCCTAACTAACGATTGGAAGCTCCTGGTTTGAGTAGAGTTGTACTGTTGAGTTTCTTACATGAATATAAAAGGCAGGTAGTTAGAAATTAGCTCTTTGCTAAGCATCTTCTGATTTTCACTCAGCAGAAACTTCATGCATTTATTTTTAGATTTATTTAATTTTATGTGTGTGAGTATTCTGCCAGCATGTATGTGTGCACCACATGCATGCCTGATGCCTGTGGAAGTCCGAAGATGGCGCCAAATCCCCCCAGAACTGGAGTTAGATGGTTGTGGGTCAGCATGTGATTGCTGGGAATCAAAGTGTGGTCCTTGGAAAAGCAGCAAGTGTCCAAGCCATTGAATCATCTCCCGGGCACCATCTATAAGCATTTTTAAGAGGCTTGGAAAATTGAATCCAGTTTCTCCAACTCAGAAGTGTGTCATCAATGGTTTCACAAACTGTTCTAGAGAATATACTAGAAAAATAGTGGCGTGTTAATCCTATTTTTTTTTTTTTTTTCCTTACTCAGTCTCTCAGTTACTTTCCTATTGGTGTAACAAAACACCATGACTATGGCAACATATAACAGGAATCATTTACTTGGATTTACCATTTCAGAGGGGTGGAGTCTATGAGGGTGAACCAACTATGGCAGGAGGAACAACTGATAGCGTATGTCTTGATCCACAAGTATGAGCCTGAGAGAGGCACACACAGTGGCAGGAGTCTTTTAAAACTAAAGCCTACCTTGTGACATAGCTCCAACAAAACCACACCTCCCAATCCTTCCCAAACAGTTCTGCCAACTGGGGAGCAGGCATTCAAACATGAGCCTGTGGATTCAAACCACAACATTGTACATTTGTTTGAGATGGTTTTATTTTGTTCTCAAAGACCTTTGTATTTCTGTCTTGAGTTTCTGCTGCTGTTGCAGGCATTGCCTTATACTGAGAGCTGTTTCCCAGTTTTGCTTGAGAAATGTCTCCCATTGAGCCATGGGACTAAAGTTCACAGGATGTGTTTATGTGGATGTAGGGGACACTTAGCTCCTGGTACTGAACTAGGCCTTTTGCTCAGATATTCACCTCTGACCTGCCGTTTTCCACTCCCCCACCCCCAGGTGCTTATAGTGGTGCCTTTCCGGGAAGCTGCCCTTCGGGTGGTTCAGCTCTTCATCAGCCTCCTAGAGGGGGACAGCAAGAAAAAAATCATTGTAAGCAACAAAAAGAGGTTTCAGGGGGAGTATGGCTCCGATCCGGAGGAGAGACCACCCAACCTGAAGAGGCCCGAGGATTATGAAGCTGTGTTTGTGGGCAACATTGATGACCACTTCAGGATTGGTAATGCCTCCTGTAAGGTGGACATTGGAGGGGTCCCTGATTCAGTATTCTAGCAGAGCTGGGTGCTCTTGAGACTTCCTGCTTACCAGGGACAGGATGCTTGCCTTGGTTGGTGGGTGGAGACTTCAAGACAGTGTAGAAAGGCCTTGTGCATTACTGTGGACATGGTTTGACTTCTCAGACTTCTCAGAGAGTGGGGACTCACAGACACTGGGTGGGGTCACCTGGAGGAGGCTAAGGAAAGACTGGATCTCCATCCTGTGTGTCTGTATAGTGCCTACCCCACCTTTGACACTTTCTAGCTTTCATGTCTGTACTTGTCTTACTTAGCTTTGTTTACTTTTATAAGTCCTTGGGAAAGTGTTCGTTGTTTGTGACATTGGGCCTCATTCACAGACATTACTGAGTGTCTGCTGCATTATTGACGTGGTTAGGAATTAAGAAACTGGGGAGTAGAAGTTCATGTTTGTTCTTTGAAGGACGCCCAGCCTAGGAAATAGCACAGGGTGACAAGCAGTACAGCTGGCATGGGTGTTTTTCAGGAGTGGCAATACTTCAGAGGAGCATTCGTCTCTACGCCCCCTTTTACTCCTCCGACATCCTTATCGCCTCCCCGCTGGGCTTGAGAACCATTATTGGTGGAGAAGGAGAGAAGAAGAGAGATTTTGACTTTCTGTCTTCTGTTGAGCTTCTCATCATCGACCAGGCTGACATTTACCTGATGCAGAACTGGGAACATGTCTTGGTAATGACCAGTTTTCCCCTTTCAAAGGACAGGATGCTTGCTCAGTACCTGTTGGATGGTTTTAGTTGAAAACAACTGTTTGTGGCATGTGTCTAATCCAGCTGTGTCTCAAAGGGGCTGTAATCCCTCGATTTGGAAGTTACTCACATCTTCCAGCTTGTGAAATTGTTTTGTTGTTCTTATACCAATAGGGTAGTCAATTATGGAAAAATATTGCGTAAAGTTTCTTTTTTGGAGAGGGCAAAGGCTTGCTGTGTAGCAAGGGCTGTCCTTTAACCTGTCTTCCTGCCTTGGCACCTGCAGTGCTGGGATTATAGACAGTGCATCCACATCCAGCTAGTAGTTCTTATTAGTTTATCTCTATTTCTCTCTCTCTCTCTCTCTCTCTCTCTCTCTCTCTTTTTTTTGCTTGCTTGTATGCCACATGTATGATGTGGGGCATCTGATCCCCTGGAAATGGAGTTATAGGTGGTGTGAGCTGCCTGATGTGGGTTGTAGGAATCAAACATGTGTCCTCTGGAAGAACAGCATGTGCTCTTTCCTGCTGAGCCACCACCTCAGCCTCCGCCCTGACCAGTATGTCTTACATGGGCCTTGTTTATGGGAAGTCTTTCTTTATGTTCTAGTTTCTCTTCTCCACACAATGGGGTGCTCTTGGTTGTCGGGTGAAAGGACAACCATGGAACTGTTCTTATTACAGAGTTGTGATATTTGTAAGGCAGATGACTGCTCACCTCAGCTTCCACCTAAGCACTTAGAGTCTTATGGGCAGTTTGGGGTACATCAAAGGCAGTTGATAGCTGTGAAAAATTAACTCATAGAGCTCATGACCCTTGGAGTGTATCCTGCAGTGTGTTAACATGCAGCTGAAATGGACAGGTTTGTAGTTCACACCTGTAAGCCTGGCCCTTGAGAGGCCGAACCGGGATGATTACAGTAAGTGCATGGCCAGACTGGACTGCAATATTCCAGGCCAGGTTGAGCTTATGCAGAAAGGTCTGCTGATAGCCACCATATTCTCTAATTTGAGGGAGAGCAAATGCCATGGCTCTGGGTCACTAGGGTTTTAGTTTAGTTTCTGTTGTTTGCCATGCTGGGAATTGAACACAGGGTCTTGAGCATGGTTGGCAAGAGTGTGTCACTAAGCCGTCCCTGTCACTGATGTTCAAGTCTGAGGCAGCAGCCCCAAGAGTGGCCAGTCTGCATTCCATAATTCCTTTCTGTATGAGTCTTGTTTTCTTTACACTTCCTGTTTTTATTTTTTTTGATTTATTGTTTCGATTTTTTTCATGTGAGCCTTTCATGCATGTGTGTTGTACCTTGTCATGTTCACCCCATCAGCCCTCCTGGTCCCTTCAGTAGTTCTTTTGAGACAGTCTCACTCTGCAGCCTAAGCTGATGCTAAACTCACTGTAACCATGCTGGTCTCGGATCCTCCTGACTCATGGTACCCCACCATGCTAAAAATCCCCTTTAAAGGTTTGCTCCGGTGGCTGGTGCCTGTTCTTCTGGAGTGTTCAGCTGACCTTGAGTGGGTTGCCACCTGAGCCTTACTTTTCTGCGGTCACTAGAAGGTGGTAATACATACTCCGTGGGATTAAGGAGTTGATGGGTTGGTTATAAATCTCATGGGTGCCCAACTCACATGTTCAGTAGACACTAATGGTGGTGTGCTCCTCCAAGCATTTGATGAATCACATGAACCTGCTGCCTTTGGACTCACATGGGGTGGACTTCTCTCGAGTACGAATGTGGAGCCTCAATAACTGGTCCAAGTACTACCGCCAGACCCTGCTCTTTGGTGCCCTGCAGGATGCCCAGATCAACTCTGTGTTCAGCAAGCACTGTGTCAATGCCCAAGGCCAGGTGAGTCCTGTGTCCTGTTGGGTCATGAAGTAGCAGAATTGATGGCATATGATCAGCAAAGGACGCCTGCTTAAAGTTCTTGCCTCCTGGTAGGTGGCAGTGAGGAATGTCCCAAAAACAGGCTCCATTAGTCACGTGCTGGTGCAGCTCCCACATGTCTTCCAGAGGATGGAAGCCCAAGATCTTGCTTCAATGATTGATGCCAGGTAACCCTACCCACACCTGTAGGTCTCAGAGAGATCTGACTTTGGCTGCGTGTTTAGTACTGGATTCTGTAGCTTTTAGGAATTAACTGATTACCAAGTTAAGTACCAGACCTGAACTCAACCATGACAGAGAAGGAATCAAGCCAGGGAGAAATGAGGGCTTGGCCTCAGTCTCAGAGCTAGGAGCAAGGTTGGGACTGAAGCCGGTGCTCTGTTGAGACATTGCAGAATCACACCATGCTGCTGTGGGCTGATATACTCCATGCCATTCCACTTAATTGCAAGCCCTTCAGAGAAGAGCTGATTGTCTAATTCTCTCCACATTGGCCCTCTAAGGGCCTATTGTGCTTAGCATGTTCTAGGCATGGGCCTCTTGTGCTTGGCATGTGCTAGATAGCCAGGCAGGGCATTTGCTGTTGAATGAATAAGGAGTGTGGAGTGAACTGCACCAGTTCTCTGGCATATATGGCACCGGATCTGCCTTTACACTTAGTGTGAGCACCTCATTTTCTATGTGCTATTAAGTTTTATCCTTACATAGTCTTTGAAAAGAAGTCAGTCTCTGGCTGTGGCTTGCTGGACAACACTGTTACTGTCTACTCTAGGTTCAGCTCTAGACTGTTAACCCTGTCCTTGGCCTTTCCTAATCAGGTTTCACTTTTTCATAAACAAGATTTTGCCTCAGTACCGGGATGCTGTCATGTCCCACACACTCATCTATGTCCCCTCCTACTTTGACTTTGTGCGTCTCCGAAATTACTTCAAGAAGGAAGAGCTGAACTTCACACACATCTGCGAGTATACACAGAAGTCTGGGGTCTCCAGGGCTCGTCACTTCTTCCTCCAAGGAGAGAAGCAGTTTTTGCTCCTCACGGAACGCTTCCATTTCTACAAAAGGTAAAACAGTATGGGCTCTACCTCTGAGAAGCCTGGACAGGCTCTGTGGGGCTGTGCACATATCCCTTGTCTCTATTCTTTTGGAGCAGCCACAAGGGTTGGTGGGTTGGTGGTGGGAAGGTAGATGGGTGTGTGGTTGGTTGGTTGGTTGGTTGGTTGGTTGGTTGGTTGGTTGGTGTGATGGTACACACCTTTCATCCCAGCACTTAGGAAACAGAGGCAGATTTCTGTGAGTTCAAGGTGAGCCTGGTCTACAGAGTAAGTTTCAGGACAGCCAGGGCAACACAGAGAAACCCTATCTCTAAAAAACAAACAAACAAAAAAGTTATCAAGGAGATGATGAAAATGTAGCCTGTAATTACTTTGGATCCAGTTTTGTTTTTAACCAGAGAGGAGGAAGCACCTGAAGGCATATGCTAGAGATGGAACCAGGACCTTGCATGTGCTAGGCAGACACTGCCTCTGAGCTCAGCCTAGCATCACAGTGTGTGTGTTACTACAGGGCGTTCAGGGTTCTGTGACTCCATTGTCTAGTTTCTTTGTGTCTCAGACAACAGAGTTGAATAAGAGAGAAAAGCAGAAGTAAAGAAGGAGAACACACTACTCAGGGTGGAGCAAGCAGTAACAAGCATGTGAAACAGGCTTCAGCTTCTTTTCCAGGGTTCTTTTTATGAGTTTATGTGGAGGGAGGGCTGAACCCTAGGGGAAGGTATGCAACAGTCCTTACCCTGATTGGCTCTTGTCTTGGATAACCTTGTATAATCTGCATGTTTTTGGGTCATATATCCATAATTATAAGCATATGTATATCTATGTGTACACATGAGGTTATAAATAGGGGGCTATTTGTTTTGCTTTGGTTTTTTGTTTGTTAGCTTTTTTCTTCAGGGACTGATAAAGGCCTTCATTGTATTTGTGCCCAACATCAGTCTCCTTATTGCAAGCCTTGTGTTACAGGATTGAGGTGCTTTAAGTTGCTGGGCTGGCTCTGCTTGTCATAGTAGTATCCCACTGGCTGGTTGATAGTGTTGAGAAGAGGAGAATGAAGGGTGTTTGGTTATGACTTCTCTTCCAAGATGGGTCATTGTACCTTTACTGCAGTGGGGAAGATTCTAAGCTGTGGACAAGTTGGAAACTAGATATAGGCAGTGTGGCGTTCAAAATGGCTTCTGGGTGGGGCGGGGTCCTCCCTGCACTTGTGTGAGTCCAGATTCTAGCAGTGATGAATTTTGTGTTTGCATCATACAGAAACAGCTTTGGAATGCAGCTCCCTCCCTCCATCATAGTCTTTATCAGTTGGCAGGGAAAGCAGACACATGGATATCCTGTCAGGATTAGGCTTATTTAAAGGGTTGGTACATTAACAACTGGGGGAGGTATGCAGCTAAAAGTAGGACAGGGAAGGGGGCTCAGGATGGGAGAATCACATGCAATGCCTCTGAACAGGCTCGACCTGCTATTTCTAGGAAGTTTCTATTCCTATGAACAGATTTATTAAGAATGTGACTGTGCTTCTCTTTTTTCTTTGGTTTTCCCACTTCTGAGGTTATTACATGTTCAGAATGTGGAGATGGATATTAGAAGAAAATATAGTCACCCATGATCAGTACAAATACTTTGATTAACTAGGCATGTTATGATGCTCACACAGGTGAGAGGATCAGTTCCAGGCCAGCCTCAGCTACATGAGTTTGAGGCCGGTCTGGTTACATGAGATCCTATGTGTTGGGAGTCAGGGATTAAAGAGAATCAATTAGGCCAGTGAGATGGCTCAGCAAGTAAAGACACGCTTCACCAAGTCTGATCACTTCAGTTCAATCCCCAGGGATTGAGACCAACTAGGGAAAGAGACCAACACTCTCAGGTTGCTACATACATGCCACAGTGTACATGCACAAACATAATAAGAAAAAGTGTGTGTGTGTGTGTGTGTGTGTGTGTGTGTGTGTGTGTGTAAATGTAGTCTAAAAATTGTCAGATATTGTGGCTTACACCAGCACTTGGAAGGCAGGCAGATCTCTGTAATATGAGGCCACCCTGGCTGGGTTGTGGCAGCACACACCTTTAATCCTAGCACTCTGGAGGCAGAGGCAGGTGGATCTCTGAGTTTGAGGCCAATCTGGTCTACACAGCTACACAGAGAAATCCTGTCTCAAAAAACTGGAGGGGGGGGGAAAAAAAGATGAGGCCACCCTGGCCTATATCACAAATTCTAGGCCAACCAGGGTTACACAGTGAGATTCTGTCCCGTAAAAATAAATAAGTAATACATATTTTAAGGTTGGCTCAGGCATCATGGTGCAGTCTTTAAAACTGACACTCAGAAGAAGATAGAGGCAGATGGTTCCCTATGAGTTTGCGGCGCCAGCCTCATCTACTAGTAAGTTCTAGGACAGCCAAGGCAGACCCTGTCTTGAAAAACAAACAAAAGAGCTACATAGCGAAACCCTGTTTCAAAAAAAAAAAAAACATTTTTTAAAAATACAAATTTTTATTACCATTATATTAAACTCTGCATTAGGAATTCAGAAACATTGTCACCAAAAAACAAAAAACCCTTTGACTCTATGGTATCTTTCTGTGTTTGGTTTCTGCTCTTATTTTCACCCCTGGCATCTAGCAACATAGTGAGCCATCTCCCTGGGGAGCCATTGGCTGCACCACTTTCCTGGCTTCATCATGCCCCTCCCTCTCCCTCAGGTACACAATAAAAGGCATCAGGAACCTGATATTCTACGAACTGCCAACCTATCCTCACTTCTACAGTGAGGTCTGTAATATGCTGAGAGCCACAAGTAGAGGAGAGGAGGCCACTTGGACCTGCACTGTGCTCTATTCCAAGTACGATGCCCAGAGGCTGGCTGCTGTGGTTGGTGTCGAGCGGGCAGCACAGATGCTGCAGTCTCCAAAGAACGTTCACCTCTTCATCACCGGAGAGAAATGAGTGGAGCAGGACAGACTACATAGGTCAGTGGGCCATGTAGACCGGATTCTCATCACTTCCCCAGGAGCAAGCTCTGGACAGACTGCAGCCTTGTGTCCCTGGAAAGTGCATTGTAACTAGTGTCAGTGACCACAGCTGCCAGAGCCAATAGCAATCTGCAAGGACTGTCATATTCAGAAATGAAGCTTGTGCTTGTCAAACTTGTAAACTGTAAGTGTTCCAATTACAGTTTTTAACTTTTTACATGGGGAATATTTTCTGGCTTGCCTATCCATTTTCTGGTGTTATTTGTGAGGTTTGCTGAGAGAGAGTTGGAGACATCTTGCTGCTGTGTTGTGTCTTGGCACATATCTTGTGGAACTTTGCTTTTGCAGCCAAACTAAAAAAAAAAAAAAAAAAAAAAATATATATATATATATATACATATATATATACACTCTAACCTAGAAGAGTACATTCATTCACTGATCTTTTTAAATTCATTATGGTGTTTTAATGGCTAACACATTTACAGTTAAGTTATATAAAGCAACATTATTTTGTACAATTCAAGCAACACCGTGGTGGATCCCTGTCCTGGGCACCACTGTCTCTTTTGCTTAGCTGGTCTTTGAGTCATGTAGCAGGAGAAAGTGAAAAGGAAATCATGCTTTGAAACATTAAACACCATTATTTTAAACTTTGTTATAAAAACAAACACCATTGCAAACAAAGAACCATCATAGACAACAGGTATGAAGCTGATCCTGAGTTGTTGGGGAGTTGACTGCCAAACCCACAGGTGTGTGTGCCTGTGAGCAAGTATTGTGCTTTGGGAGCTCACCATGGTCTTAAGTGAGCAAACTGTCCTCACTGCCACTAAGTCCCTGGCTCCACTTCAGCCTTACTACTTGTCCCAACCTTGTTCTGGCCCCCTTCAGGGCCAGGGAAGACCTGACCTTAAAGTCTTAATCTTCCTCCCTTCACCTCTTAGGTGCCATTAACACATTTGGCTATTTGTTGTCATCAAGGCTATTGGTTCAGAGTTTTGTTTGTCTTGTGTTTTTGATTGATTGATTGATTGATGGATTGATTGATTGATTGATTGATTGATTTGCAGTGCTTAGAAATCAAACCCAGGCCCTTGCATTCAAGTCACAGCTTCCCCCCCCCCTTTTTTTTTCTTCTGAGACAGGATATTATTGTAAAACTTAGGGAAGCCTTGGTTTTGACATGTAGCCTAGGCTGGCCTGAACTCATAAGCCTCCTGCCTCTTCCTCTCAAGAAAGGATTACAGACCCAATAGCTCTGCAGCTGGGTTAGCTGGCTGACCCTCCCTGCCAGCCCCAGGCTCTGTGGTCAGAGCCTGGGAATGTTTGCCTGAATATGGGTGTATATGTGAGCACACACAAACATCAAATTTTACTCCTTACCTACATGTTAGAAACTGAATTTAAATTAGTATTTCTATTTCCAGTGTGTGCTGCAGGGTTCCTTCTGATCCCCTTTCTCGGTGATTTCCCATTGTCCTCAGAGACAAACCACAATTGGTGTGTATTTTCTTATTTTTGTACATACTTAGTAATGGCTTGGCAGTAAAGTCACTCAGGCTTTAAGTACCTGAAGTTGTATTCCCAGAACTCACCTTGTAGGAGACTAACAGCTCCCAAAAGTTGTCCACATGGGTGCCATGGCACCTTAATACACACACACACACACACACACACACACACACACACACACACACACACACACACAGATTTATTTATTTTTTTTAAAGTGATTATAATTTGGTGCAGCTGTTATGCTAAGTAGGCATTTTGACTTCTCAGCAGGATAAGCAAAGCCATTTATTCCAGATTGAGTTTTACATTTCAGGGTATATAAATGATAGATAAAAGCCAACCAATCCCCAAAATCGAAAACTTCCTGGATGCACAGATCTGCCCTGTGGTTATTGGCATCTGTGTGCTACTGTTTGCCATATTCACCATCTTTTATGGGAAGGGAAATGAGCTTGTTGCTTTGTTGAAATCCATGATTCCTCAGGTCTGTTTGCACAGTTCTTGTGAAATGCAGCTTACAGGATGAATTGTAACTGCACAAGAGTTCGTGGGCTGTAGAGAACTGATGTGATTAATGCAAGAGATGACATCACAGCAAAGGGGAGTAGCCCTCAGACTGCAGACACATGACATACACTAGAACCTACGGTGTGCATCATGTGTTGTCCTCCGTCTTGCCCATGATAGCCTCAAATTTGTGATTCTCCTGCCTCAGCCTCCTGATTAGAAATGTCTCTCACCCTCCTTGCGTCTATCTTCATAGTTCTTAGGCTGGCTCCTCTGTAGCCCAGAGTCTGAGTGATCCCGGGCCCAGGGACTTACCCAGGAAGTGAGACTTTTAGACTCCACACAGCAGTCATGGCTACAGTGGCACTTTTCTTTTTGAGGGAAAAGGCTTTGAATCGTGACCACTGCTCACAGCTGGTTGCACTGTGTGCAGCATTGGAAACAACAAGCTAATCACACAGTGCCTGCAGCAGAGAATCAGCCCTCTGCTGGCTTCCAGAGGCTTGTAATTGAGTGCAGATGTCCCAGGCAAGATGGGGGCTACATGTCCCTAGTGACTCATGCATACCTCAGAGATCCAATGGGGTTCCAGAAGCTTTGATACCTGATTGTACCCTTGCAAGGGGGGGGGGTAAGGACACAGGCTGCTGAGGGTAAACAGAGTCAGGTATTGCCCATGCTTGCTTGACTGCCTTCTGCTGGGCCTTCCGGGTATCTGTCATCAGACAGCCCAAGTTTAGATTTGATGAGCCCAGGGTCTCAAGATGGCAAAAGGCCTGGGGCAAGAAAGCAGGACTGGGGTGTTCTTCACAGCCATCTGGAGAGCCTGGGTGTGTGAGCTGTAGGTGGCTGTGAGATGCTGCATGCTTCCAGAAAGAATGTTGTGGAAGCCACAATTTCAGGGTGCATCCCCCAGAGTCTGAGGCCTCTTGCCTCCCACCCCACTCCCTCCTTCCCTAGGTGCCTGTCGTTTGGGTTTAGTGGTCCTATGCCTCTGGTCACGCTGCTGCTGTTCCTGTGGGGCTTTAGGATTGTGTGAAAGGACAGAGCTCAGTCTCAGAACAGATGGTGGGTGCCCTGTGCTGCTGAGTCATGTCTAGGCTCTGAATGCCATGAGGCCACCAGAGAATGACAGGGGTATCCAGCATCCTGCCATCTTCACGCTCCCTGGGCTCTTCCCAGCAGGGTCATGCATGGTGAGATTTCCTGGGCTCACAGCTGGTCTGTCTGTCCATGGGTTAGTCTTGACCCTTGTTCAAGGTCAGTTTGAAGGCGGGGAATGCTCACTTGTCTGAGTCTCCTAGTATTGGGATTGCATAGCACCTGGCACATTGTGTGCAAGTCCTCCCAATTATTTCTGGGGTTTGTGTTAGGTTGTGTTTTTATCTAGTGCTGGGATCAAACCAGAGGTCTTGCAATCTTATTTAAACATCCTTCACTGAGCTGCAGTCCTAGCCATACTAGGAGTAGAGAATGATCTGCCCTTTCGTTAGAGAGGAACAGAGGGTGAAAGTCTGTCCTTCATCAGAACCTAGTTTTAATGGCTGGCATAGTATCCAGTGGAAAAAAAAACCTACATTGCCCACCAGGAGAGTGCATCTCAATGGAGGGAACACCCAGCCTCTGTTCTTCACCTGCCAGGACTAAGTAAAAGCTGAAGTTCTACAGGTCAGGTGTTCTGCATAGAACATGTGGCAGAGGGCCACTGCAACACAGTCCTGCACAGTCCCCTCACTTGTGACATCCCCATTGTACACCGACCTAGGAGGATGGGGGAAGGGGTGGCAGACATCATCTCATGGGGACTATAAAAGAATAGTCACTTCAGCAGTTTTCCTGTGTATTTAAAAGAAAATTTATCAGTGAGTGAGAATCCATAAGTTGATCAGAACTATTACAGATACATGTGTCTGGGTTTTCACCCAGCAGTTGCTTTAAGGACCTCAGATGCCTTCAAGATGGCTTTTCCAGTCAGCAGTGTTGCATGGAGATGCTCTGAGCCCCCCCCCCCCCCTTTGTCCTGTTTCTGTTTCTGAAGCTGTGCTCAGGTCCCTCTTGTCCTCCCACTAACCCTCTGTTTAAAAATAGCCACCCTGTCAATGAGCCTGGTTTTCTCCAAGGCAATTGTTCCTGCTTCCTTCAAGACTTTTCTGAAAAGTTATGTGTTGTTCTTAGTCTTTTTAAAGATTAGTCCATCCTCAATAAAAACAAATCAATTAAAAAAAAAAAAAAGAAAAGTAAAACCAGGCACCGTGCATGCCTGAGGCAGGAGGGTCCTGATTACAATCTTGTCTCTAAACAACAACAGAAATCAATAAATAAAGCAATACATGGTCTACACAGTGAGATCTTGTCACAAAACAACAGAAATAAAGGAAGTAAACCAAATGGCATTGGGTGTTTTGTGTGTGTGTGTGTGTGTGTGTGTGTGTGTGTGTGTGTGTGTGTGTTGAGACAGGCCCAAGCTGGCCTTGAACTCATGTAGCAAAGGATAACCTTGAATTCATAATTCTCCCTCCTCCAAGTGCTAGGATTACAACTGTGTGCCACCACATTTGTACTTATAAAAGTGAAAGATTTCAAGGGTGAGGAGTCTTGGAAGTGTTATGCCTTCCAAACACCAGGTGGCAGCAGTATCAAGTGCTGTCTGCAGCCCCCTCTAGATCCCTTGGCCTTGCTGTCCCCAGAGCCTAGGGCTTGCCCTCCCCTCCTTCCCTCACTTCCCCTTAGCTCACACCCGTTGTGTTTATCTAAGTTGTCCTAGTACCAATAAAGACTTGGGAGTCAGTGAAAACCTGATAGATCAAAGAAGCAAAATAGGGGTGACCTTCTCTTTTCTTTTTTAACCAGAGACCCAGCAAGCACCTCTCTCTTCACACATCCGGGATCAAAGAGATTGAGAAGTCCCTCCCTACTCTTTTCTGCTTATCTTCTCTCTCCATAGTCTGGCTTCTCTGTGGCTGATTCTGGTCATCTAGTCACCGGCTCCACCCCCTGATTCAAAGTTGAGTTTATTAACAGTCTCTGGATTTCACAGTGCGGTCAAATATCCTGAAACACATGGCAGTGGAGGAGACAGACATTGTCAGTATGAGTGAGATGGAAAGAGGCAATTGGGAGTTGAATGAAACTACAATTGGGCTGCAGAGATGGCTCAGTGGTTAAGAGCACTTACTAACTCCCACACTGAATGGCCTATAGCCACCTAGAACTCTAGCTCTGAGGGATCTGATGCGTTCTTCTGGCCTCTGGAAGCACCTGCCCCTATGTGGCAAACGTTCACACGAACACAAAGTTTCAGCCATGGTGGCAGATGCCTATAATCACAGTGCTTAGGAAGCAGAGACAAGAAGATAGCCATTTTGGAAAAGCTTATCTACATAGCTAATTCTAAGCCAGCCAGGGTCACATAGCAAGACCCTGTCTCAAAGAGCAGTGTGTGTGGTGTTTGTGTGCGTGTGAGTGCGTGTTCTGCATTTCAGGTGTTGGTGAATGATGAAGCAGATAGGTCAAAGTTAGGAAGTAGATCTGATGTAGACTCTCTGCTGAATTCTGAGCACCCTTGGGGCTTGTTTGAGGGACAGGCCTCTGTGACCATACTGCAGCCTTCTGTGACAATTCTGCTTCC